AGTCTATAAAGATGGCATGTGAGATTTTACCATCATCATAGGCCTGGGTTAGACTTTCCATGACATATAGCATATTGGCGTAGCATATCGGTGTGGCAATGTAGTTACCTGTTGTCAGTTAGCTGAACCAAATTGCATGCCTTAAGAGGTGTGCTGCGTGGACAGTCCAGAGGTCCACCTGACATTACTTCGAGGGTACTCAAGTTTGCTGGCCACTGCCGAGGTGATGCCCACGGTGAATTTATCTAGTCTTTGCTTGAAGCACGCTGTCGTAGGCGCAGAGACCGCTTCCTCGGGTAATGAGTTCCAAGCGGATGTGGCCCGGATGGAGAAGTGTAACCGTCTGCTGTTGGTACTACTCTGATGGTGCAAGATGGTCTTAGAGTGTCCTTGCATTTGTCGGTGCGATGATAGTGCTATTAGTTGGCTGTTTGGGTGACTCTGCGTTGATAATATTTTGTGTATCAATATTAAGTCCCCTCTCAGCCTCCTGTAGGAAAGGGTAAAGAGGTTGAGTCGCTTAAGTCTATCTCCGTAGCTCAGTTGCGATATCCCAATGACTCGCTTTTTGGCTCGTCTCTGAACCGCTTCCTGTGCTTTAATGCCTCGTACTAAGGTTGGGGGACACGCTTGAATGTTATATTCAAGGTGGGATCTTACGTAGGTTCTGTATAACATTCTGAAAGATTCGGGCTCCAGTCTTTCCAGGTTTCGGTTTATTACGCTCTGAACTAGGCTGCCTCGTTTCACTAGCTTAGCTCAGTTTTGTGAGAAGTTTAGACGATCTGACAGAACCGACCCTAGATCTGTTTCCTGTTTAACTACCGTCAGTGGCACCGAGTTAAGGTAGTATCTGTTGTCCTTTTCTCCCCTGACGTGTAATACATGGCATTTTGACTTGTTTAAAGGGAGACCATTTCCGATTCCCCATCGTCCGATCGCATCTAGGTTACGTTGGAGGATTACTCTGTCCTCCTCGTTTCCGATACTCCGCCAGATCTTGGCGTCATCCGCGTACAGGAGACACTTAGTTGTTAGTGGTCTCACCAAGTTGTTAATAAACAGTGTGAAGAGTAAGGGGCCTAGTATGGATCCTTGTGGTACTCTGCTAAGGATTAAATGGCGGCTTGAAAGCTCCCTATTGACCCTCATCTGATACCTACGACCACTTAAGTAGTCTTTCAGCCAGTTTAGTTACCTCTCCTCTATGCAACACTGGATAAGTTTGTCTCATAATTTTCGATGCGGTTCCTTGTCAAAAGCCTTGGAGAAATCTAGGAATATAACATCCACGCTGTTCCCTCTGTCTGCTTCTTTAGTCCAATCGTCTGTCACCGCTAGGAGGGTTGTAAAGCACGATCGACCTTTGCGGAATCCGTGCTGCTGCGCGTTGAGGAAATTCGAGACTCTAAGAAGTTCTTTTATTCCATCGTCTATTATGCTTTCCATTACTTTTGAAATTATGGAAAGAAGTGCTACCGGACGACAGTTTTCGGGGTTTGTCCGGGATCCCGATTTGCATATCGGAGTTACAATACTGGCTTTCTAATCACATGGGATTATTCCAGTGTTCATGGAGGCCGTACACAATTGTTCGAGGGGGGCACTTAGAACTCCTGCGCAGGTTTTAAGAGGTACCGCCGGCATACTTTCCAGACCCAGGCATATGTTCGGGCGGAAATGACTCAGTCAGTTCAGTTCAGTTCAGTTCAGGTGAGGTCAGGTCAGGTTGCACAGGACTAGTAGTGGCCACAGGCCATTCAAGCGTCCCGAATTCCTTCGGTGGTGTGCTCACGAGTGTGCGTCTACCTATGCGATTGATCGGTTTCTCTTTCTATCTGCAAACACAGAGAAAGAGAGACTTCACTTCTCGCCATGTCGGCGACAGGCTTTTTGGTGAAAGCGTTCCATATTACATAAAAACAATTAATGCACTTAACATTCTGTGCCAGGGAAGACCTCCAACCATCTGGCGTCCAAGGCTCTTTTCAAGGCTTGGACGTTTGGCTACATACTCAGTTCTGACGGTGGCATATTCCAATTTTCCACTACCCTATTTCCAAAGAGATTTGCGCGTAAGTTCAGCCTAGAAAGCTGTTTCATAAGTTTGAGCTCATGTCCACGCAGTCCTAGGTGGAGCGTCTCAGCGAAGAAGAACCCCGGATATAAACCCAGCAAATTTTTCTTAATCTTAAATACTTCAGTGAGGTCTCCGCGCAATGTCCTTTTTTCTAGCGAAAAAAGACCGAACGCGTACAACCTTTCTTTGTATGTTTTACCCCGCATACTCTCAACCATCCTTTTTGCTAGTATCTGTACCTTCTCCAGACAGACTGCATCTATTTTGTAGAAGGGCGACCAAGCCTGAACCCAGTATTCTAGGTGAGGCCTTACGATGGCTTTGTTAATGGGTATAAATACTTCTGCTATCCTACACGAAACTGCTGACCTTAGTCGAAACAGCTGTTGTCTTTCCATGTGTGCTGCAGCTTCACACTGAAAACTCCAACTGTAATCTGCCGATAAGATGACTCCTAGATCCCTAGCACTGGTTACAGCGCCCACTTCGAATTGCCCCAGTCCCCGAGAGCCTTCAATGGTTCCCCGGTTCTAGAGAGCAACTGACTCTTGGTTGAATTTAGTGGCAGATACCATGTATGGGACTACTTGACCACCTTTGCAATATCCTCTTCTAAGTCGGCTCTTC